CAAGTAAGTAACTGATTTTAAATTTCTCGTTTAATACGTAATGCTTTCATTAGTACCCTGTTAAATTTAATTTAAACTCATTATTAAGCAAATTCGTTATAAATCCAAGATTTTTGAAATAATAGTTTTTGTAGCTCTTTTGCCAATGTTTTAGGATAGCTGAAGGCAAACCTAAGCCAACCATAAAATGGATAGTTAATTCGAAGAGCCCAAACACAAACAAAGAGCTCTCGTCGCATATTGGAGAAGAATTAATTAATGCTGTCTCAGAAACATTACATTATCTCAAGCGGGTCACTACATTTGCGTTGCCGAGAATACATTCGGTCGGGCTCAACAAGATACGGATCTTATCGTGCAAGGTGATGCTGCAGTTAATAATAAAATATCACGAACGTTATTCACTCTAACCAATATTTTTAAACTTTCGATATATTTTTTTTAGCTCCTCCGAAGATCCTCCGCAGAGAAGACGTACCTAAAGGTATCGTAGGAGACGTCGCTCTAAGTGTTCCTTGCACTGTTTACGGATATCCGGTGCCGACGGTGGTCTGGAAAGCCAATGACACAGTCACACTCCACTCAGGTATTTTAATTTACACCAGATTTAGTAAAAAAATTTCTTACGACCGGGCGGTAATAAACTGAACTATTTGTAATTAAAATATTGGGTAGGTACTATATAATAATCAATAATAGGACTAACATACCTCTTCTCCTTTCCTTAACCTAACCGTTGTACGTCAGACCATGAGTTGATGGTGTTTAAAAGCACTCTTAAATTTCAGGCAGCAAGTATAACATCACCAAAGGAAACACATTGATCATTAACAATCTTGAACACGCCGATGCCTATACAAAGTACACTTGCGTTGCGAAAAATACTTTTGGCGAAGTTAATCAAACCTTTGATGATATTATATACGGTAAGTGTTCCTTTACTGTTCTTTTTGAACTCACAGCATGGCCACGCTGATTTTACTGATACTAAAAGGTACCATTATACTAAAAAGAAAACACGCGAATCTACTCAATTTTCTATTAATTAGAATGGTTTATAGGGCATAAATTGCCATTTCAGATCATCCTTGAATTGTTTATATTTTAAGAGATGGATCAAAATCTGATCAAAACTTCGAACAGTGCATGTCATACTTTGCAAATATAGTAGTCACAAAGGACGTACTGTAGAAACATGTCATTTTACAGAGAGACCAAAGTTCAGAAAACCTGTGATCACAACATCTGTGATGGAAGGCAGAGATGCTGTGATCCCGTGCAAGTAAGTAAATAAGTTTTAAATTCTCGTTTAATACGTAATGCTTTCATTAGTACCCTGTTAAATTTAATTTAAACTCATTATTATGCGAAATTCATTGTAAATCCAAGATTATTGAAATAATAGATTTTGTAGCTGTTTTGCCAATTTTTTAGGATAGCTGAAGGCAAACCTAAACCAACCATAAAATGGATAGTCAATTCGAAGAGCCCAAACACAAACAAAGAGCTCTCATCGCATATTGGAGAAGAATTAATTCTCAGAAACATTACATTATCTCAAGCGGGTCACTACATTTGCGTTGCCGAGAATACATTCGGTCGGGCTCAACAAGATACGGATCTTATCGTGCAAGGTGATGCTGCAGTTAATAATAAAATATCACGAACGTTATTCACTCTAACCAATATTTTTAAACTTTCGATATATATCTTTTAGCTCCTCCGAAGATCCTCCGCAGAGAAGACGTACCTAAAGGTATCGTGGGAGACGTCGCTCTGAGTGTTCCTTGCACTGTCTCCGGATATCCGGTGCCGACGGTGGTCTGGAAAGCCAATGACACAGTCACACTTCACTCAGGTATTTTACATATTTTAATTTACACCAGATTTAGTAAAAAAAATCTTACGACCGGGCGGTCATAAACTGAACTATTTGTAATTAAAATACTGGGTAGGTACTATATAATAATCAACAATAGGACTAACAGACCTCTTCTCCTTTCCTTAACCTAACCGTTGTACGTCAGATCATGAGTTGATGGTGTTTAAAAAGATTCTTAAATTTCAGGCAGCAAGTATAACATCACGGAAGGAAACACATTGATCATTAACAATCTTGAACACGCCGATGCATATACAAATTACACTTGTGTTGCGAAAAACACGTTTGGTGAAGTTAATCAAACCTTTAGCCATATTATTTCTGGTAAGCGTCCTTTAAATGTTCGTACTCAATCCACGGCTTGGCATAGAACGGTCGGTATGACTCTTGTCCGGTTAGAAAGACAGATATCCACAGTTTGCACTATATATGACGGAGTAGGCTGGCACCATCAGAGAAGTCCGCTTCATTCGGATGCTCGAGTCGAAATGCTTTATGCGGTTTATTTTTTCATACGTAACCTGATGGTCTTGACAGACCATTTCAGTGTAATCTTCACAAGTAGGGGAGCTCGCGGGGCTCAAACCTTACGATGTTTATAACGCTAACCCTAGCGAGAGCAGTGCTTCGCAGAATCTACCACCGGATCGAAAACGCGACTGAGAAGATCCGGCGAGAAATTTAGCGGGTTGTGTCTGTGGGTTAATTTACTCTCCGAGTTCTTCGTCGCAAGCGACGGGTTCAACGGGGACGATAACAGTTTTGTGCGACAATAGTCACTCGTATTTATAGTAGAAAATGGGTTTTTTTTTTTTGGTCTGGAGGAAATCGCTGGACTTCCGCCCTCCCCTGGGGATGGAGGGCGGGGCATGTCGGAGTCGAACTGATTAATACCTCCTGTCGCTCAACAACCCGCGTCCGAACCTCGCATGAGACAGAACCCATGAAAAGGCAAAGGGGGGAAAGTGAAGCGTTTAGTGCGGAGCACATCTCTCCCATCACCCTCCCCCTCGGGACGCCGGACCAGCGGTCGTCGGCGCCACGACCACCGGCCCTCTCGGTCGGCAGGCTATCCGGAGCCCGCCTAGATGGCGCCGGTTAGAATGGGTTATCCTACGGAATACCCCGCTGGGTCAGAACCAACGTGGGTTGAGGATAGCCGGCCTTCCATCACCCGGATGCTCTTGCGTAAAACGCGTGCAGAGCAGCTTGCACGTCATCTTCTTAGGCCCCCTTCGCCGGTCCCCAGACCGACATATGAAGGGGACCCGAAACACTTAGAAGGCCAGGGCTTGCAACACCGCCAAAGCCACCCCACCCCTCTCACGCGCCCCGCCGCCTCCTTCTGCGAGATGGTGCACTACGACAAGTCGTTTCCTATTTTTGCGACGAGGACACGGCGCCACCCCTCCCATGCGGGGCAGGCGACGAGCGTGTGCTCCACCGTGTCCATGTCGCAACCACAATGGTGGCACTCTGTCGTCGGCTTTATCTTCGTATTTGTATTTCAGAAGGACTCGTTCACTTTGGAGAATTTCGCGAGATTCATTCACTAGAGAACGAAACAGTGAAAATTAGTTGTCCTACACCAAACGCAGGGGGCTATACCATTCGTTGGTTTGAGGTATGTATGAATGAATTTATTGTTTTTAAGCTATTGCATAGCTTTTATCGCGGGCTTTGAGCACGGCGACCGAATCAAGAAATTCCGTAACGAAGATAAAACTAACACCCCCACTACGTCCACCATGTAACTCGCGTTCAACACATTCACACGTTGCGTTTGTGTAGTGAACTGTAGTGTTTGTGTATAAGCGCGCGGCGTGACGTGACACTGCATGCGCATCATGAAAAGTCTGCCCATCTCTCTCTCGCGCGGTCTAGTTTATGAGTTTGAAGAGGACAGTTAATGTTTATAAATATAGCGTGGTTTATTTCATTATTGGTTTAATATTAAATTATTATTGTCTAATTGTAATTGCATAAGTTGATAAAAAAGCTTTCCCGGTGTTATCCCGTTGGGGTAATGTATGTGGACCAAAAGTGTCTCCGTCCAAGGACACAGGACGTTGTTGTGGGTAGTCCGAGATGTGCTCAAAAGTTTGAATCATCGCAGCTTCCGGCTAATTTATTTGACGGCGTTCTAATTATATTATACGATACTATCGAAATTTCGGGAACGTTAAATGACAAAAACTGACAGATGTGGTTTTGTTTTTTTGTTCAATGGTATTGTCATAGAAAAACATCGTCTTCGCACGTTTATTTACGGGCTTTTTTCAGGATAAAAAGCAAATGAAAACTAACGAATCATATCTAAAACTCGAAAAATTGAAGGAAGAGAGTGTCGAATATTATACGTGCCGTGTTAGTGACAGAAACGGATCGAATTCCACCACATTTGAAGTGAACGTTGGGAAGAAGCCTAGGTTTTTGGCCTACCACAGCCCGCTGGTAAAATGGCAAGGACAGAACTCCCTAGACTGTAAAGTGTCAACATCGCCATCTACAAATACGGTAAGTCTGCGGTATTCTTCGAGATGATTCCTTCGTCTTCTTTTTACCATCGCACCGTTCGCTACCGGTGTAGAGTTCCTCCAAAGTGCGTTTCCAGATATAGCCTACTGAATTAACTTCTCTCTTTGGCGTTTCTTTCTTTAGACCAAGCTTAGGGAGAGTCGTAAGCAGTAGGGATTGGCTTGACCGTGTTGACTTGAAGAATTCCATCAATTGGGCCGTATGCCCACCAGCCAAGGGCAATTTGAAGCGCTGCGAAATGTAAGCAACTAGGCATGAGTTTTGCAAAAGCTTACAAGCCAATACTTAAAAAAATATTGCATCTAATATTTGATAGGCGCTTCACTTTCATTCGTGAGTTACAAATTAATACATAATATAGAAATTTTTTTTTACCTTCATCGCAACTTTGACCAGCTTTGGTGTTAGACGTCTTCCAATGTTCAGTGGTTATTCGAAGTCCATAGAGATTACAACGTGGATGCCTCCACCCACTTTGAGAAATGAGGGAGGTCTAAATTCTATTATAAATATAAGGGCCGTCCCACTTTTGGAAACGGAACGCATGACCTGGCTGGATGGCGACAGAAAAGTCATAATTTTGTTTATCGAGCGTTTTTTTTCTTCAATGTCACATCCTTGGTTTTTTAATAGATCCAGTGGTTCCACAACGGGAACCTTATCGTCAACGTAACAACTAATGATACAGCTCCGTTGGCCTGGCGAGTTTTCGACTGGGGACAGTACGTGTGCCAGATAAAAAACATCCACGGTACTCTGACAAGGAGTTTCAACGTAACTTCGGATGGTAAAAAAATTCAATGTATTAAAGTGTGTGTGTGTGTGTGTGAGAGAGAGAGAGAGAGAGAGAGAGAGAGAGAGAGAGAGAGAGAGAGAGATTTGTGATAATCGAATTTCTTCAATCAATTTTACAAATTTCAACTGTAAATCGAACCGTGAATTCACGTTGCAGAGATCAGACTTTTATCCACTAAGCCCAAATGTTGGTCACGCTGTTTAAATTAAGTTCGATTTCACTGAGTAATTTTCGCAGTTATGGTAATCGTCAAACTCGCTGAAGAGTTCGAGCTAAACATAAATCTATAACATTAATCATTTTTCTCACCGGATCTACTCCGTGCATTCATTTCGACAAAGTGGCAGATGCACAGGCGAAGCAACTATTGTCGATTTAACCCCCTCTGGGATTCTCGGGCAGTTGTTGGCAAACCTTCCCAGTCAACTTAACCGACCCCACCTAACTAAGGCCTTGGATTCGCCCAGCTAAACGGCTTAAGACCGCTTTAAGAACATCTGCGAGGCCTTTAACACCGAAAAAAAAAAAACACACTGTTAAGTCCATTAGGACCAATTCGCTTTTGTTATTAAACAGACATATTAAATTCGATTACAAGAACCAATTTATTACCTACTAGCGGCCCGCTCCGGTTTCGCTCTGGTCTTTAACAAAAATTTCAAAATAAAAAATTATAATACACATTAACCATTATATTTGCGTCAGGTTCTTAAAAATAGAAAATTATAAAGGCAGTATGAATAATTATTATTATTTAAATGAACTTTTATTTTCATTTAAATAATATATTTTGTTTTTATCTATTTTTTTCACTATTTTTATATTATTATTTTTCTAATTTTCGTAACATTGTTGGAGTTTTAGTAAGGATTCTTAATTTTTTTTTTTAAATAATATAGCCTATGTCACTCGCGGATAGTGTAGCTTCCAAATAGTGAAAGAATTTTTCAAATCGGTTCAGTAGTTTCGGAGCCTGTTCAATACAAACAAACAAACAAATCTTTCCTCTTTATAATATTAGTATAGATATAGATTTATTTAAAATTTAATTTCCAGAATGCCTCATCAAGGAAAACCTTCGACGTACTGTATCAAACGAGCCCTTGTTGCTCTCCGATACCTTAGAATGGCCTAAGGTTACGAAGACCAATAATTTCTTGAATATCAAAACCGAGACATACACAGTTGCATGTCCCAACGACGGGACTTCGACGAATAGTTTCCTTCACATTCCCGGTGAGAGTCAGGTCGAAGCAACTTGCGCTTACGAAGACAAATTCTGGGTGAAAGGAAAACTCTTCAAGTACACTGACTTGAATTGCTTGCGTGATTACCAGCTCGGAGTCATCGAAACTAAACAAAGATGCCACGAAGGCGCCGAATTAGTAAAAATAGGTTACAATATGAATGATTTCTTCAATCTCTTCGATGTATGTTTCGACTATAATAACAAACGGCCGGTGTATTCGCATGTGATGATGTCAGAATTTCTTGCTCAAGATGAAAAAAGAATTGATCCTTGTGAAGGTTGTTACGCTATGGGTAAACTCGTGAACCCTACAGACGTTGTCGGCAGTGGACTTATTCAAGAGAGCTATACGTATAGCACAATCATTAATGCTGTCCTTATATGGCAACCGCCTCCTGAAACTGATAAGAACAAAAAGCGGGTACGTATTTTTACTGCTTTAAAAGTATTTAGTTGTGTTTTTTTATTGCTTAGATGGATGGACGAGCTCACGGGTCACTTTGTGTTCAGTGGTTATTGAAGTCCATATACATGCCGTCGCCCATCTTGGGGCAGGAATTCTAAATTTCAGTTTTATAGCACAATGGCTGCCCCTGCACCACTCTTCATTACCGCTTTACGGCAGAAATAGGCGGGGTGGTGGTACGTACCCACGGGGGCTCACAAGACTCTCTGTCAGCAGTAAAAGTTTTATGGTAATACGCGGCTCTCTTAGAGTCTTGAGTACTCCATGAACTGAAGTATAGGTACCGGTGTATTGGCCCGGAGCGATGCGACTGTGATAGCGTTTGCACAAGCAGACACTTGAATATCTGAGGTAATACTAATTATATAAGGTAACAATAAATACGAACTAAAACTAAACGATTATAGATTAGCAAAATTATTGTGGGATATTTGTTATTGTCGCGAAGCAGTACCGCATTTCGATTGCAAGGGTGGGGGACAATCGAATGAGCATGATTTAGCGTAGCATTTTTAATGGGGATGGGTTCTGAAAACTAATTTAGAGCTCACCCTTCGGTGGGGGAGTGTTTGAATCATCCATTGTGCAGCCAACATATTCTTTCAGCGTAGATCATAAACGTTGGCTGAACCTAGACCTTACTCTGTTACGTTTGACGATTATCGACAGAAATAACTTTTGCGGTTTAATTTCGCGTTTTTTATCATCATATTATTTTCGATGTTTTGAATACTGCAGCTCTTTCTCTTGGTTACGAACGAAACACATTTACTCGTTGACGTTTGAAAATTGGGCTTACCACCATCTATTTTTGTGTAAAAATGTGGTCTAGTAATGAATTAATGATATCTTGAGGTGTTGTTTATTTATTTATTTCAATGCTCTCGCACTCTATACGCCGAGTTAATTTTTTTCCATTAGCGAGTGTTTTGTCAAATCTTATACACCTTTGACGGCTAACTTCATCATGTCGCTCTTTGCTTGTACGTGAACCACTTAAACATTATCATAATATAGTCGTTGAGTGTCTGAGAATATTAACTACTTTCGCTTGACATATGAACTAGCCTTTAAACACAACCCACTGACAGGGACGTCTTAAATTAGGCTGGGGCCCTTGGGTAAACAAGAATTTGAGGCCCTTTTGGAAAGTAAAAAAAGCGAATAATAATAACATTTTTTTACTGAGTATGACCATTTATTATAGGTAATCAAATACGGTATGATATAATATGTCATTAATGATATTAGAATGCTGCTGGTTTTTTGGCTACGATCACGATAACGGAAACCGAATAAATGTGTGAGAGATATTGTCGGTCCTTAGGGCCCCCCTGAGAATTGGGGCCCTGGGCACGGGCCCCGTGTGCCCTTATGGTAAAGACGGTATTGCCCACTGAGTATCTTCTCGGATCTTCTCAGTAGGTCGCGATTTCGATCTGGTGGTAGATTCTGCGAAACACTGCTCTTGTTAGGGCCATTGTTAGCAGTTAGATCGTGAGCTCACCTATCGATCCGCGCAGTCGGTATAGCCCCTTAAGTTACCAACAAATAGGTAGGGGAAGCAGCGATGAACGTAAACCAGATCTAAATTAAGTAAATCTTTCCGTTTCAGATTAGTTTTCAAGATTTAGAGAAGGAAGTGCACCTTCTTACTAGAATGTTCGAAAATATTGAAGTTTGGACAGGCACCTACAAGTATATTGAGATTGATGGACAAACAGTACCCAAGTATTTGTGGAAGGTAGGTTTTTGCCTAACAGTTTTTGCAATTTCCCGCAACCAATGTTAGCTACCGACTACCAGGAATACGATGAAGATTTGGATGAGATTTTGAAACACGTCCTTTTCGGATCCGCATATTTGATACCGGTTACTGCGCTGGTATCTAAGGTCCAACTCACAGCAGCCAATAGCTCACCAAACTATTGTATGGAATAGAAGTAGTTGTTTTATTAAAGAAGGCCGGTGAGCGGTGTGGCGACATTCACGTTATGGTGTCTATAGGAACTGGTAACCAATCAACAGTACGACCTTGTACCCATTAAACAAAGCGCTGGGCCATTGGACCAGCCGGGTATTCCAGGACACCAGCGACACCGCCTGAGGTTACCTGACCGACGTAGAGTCCTAGAGATAGTGCCGCGAGTGTGGTTGTTGTGTTCACCGCGAGAACCTCCCTACTCTGGGTTTGACCCCGGGCGGAGATCGGATGTGGGGTGAGAGAGTGTAAGAAAAGTCGTTTGGTGGGCTGGGTTCTAAAACGTATTGAGACCTGCGATCTGCTCCCAACACTGGCACCGATACTTAAACGCGATTACCTTATGGCCTCTGCCCGAAACAAAGTGTTTTGGCATTAGAAGTATTAGAACAAATTAACATTATTATTTCTCACCCCCACAAAGATTCTCATCATTAACGCCCCCGCAACTGGCGTAGGGAGTCCAACACTCATATAAATATTAGCCTATCCATTAAGTACATGTATTTTCTACATGGATACCAAGTTTCAATTCAATCGGATGCATGGTTCAGTAGTTATAACGGAACATCCGTAACAACCACTGTAGATTTATATGTATATTAGTATAGATTGCTATACATGCCGGTAACTGGCTTACATTACATACCAGTACTTAATTTTATACTTGTTAATTTTAAGCTTAAATGTTTTGTGTGTATTGCGTCTAAATAAATGAATAAGTAGTGAGAAGTGTTACCTTGGCTTTTTTTCTTTTACAACCGAAACTTCAAGCATATCAATCAATTTTGTTTCAGGTGGTCGGCATACCTGAAAACGATGACATGAAAGTAGCTTATGTTTACGTCAATCATCCGAACGAGAGTGACGCGGACATTTGGTGTGACGGTACCTCTGCTGAAGAATGTAATGAATTATTGAACTTCAAATTAGATAAATACGCTTACTGCTGCGATATCCAGACGTTTTACAAGGAGACAAGATTCAGTTTCTAGTGAGCTGACGTGTTGTTACGTCGTAACAAAATTCTAAAATATAAATTTAACTATGTATACAGTTATTTTGTTTGTTTGTGTGTAATGATTTTTCGTATTAATTTTATATTTTAGAATTTTGTTACGGCGTAACAGTGTTAGGACTTAACTCTATCACACAGTCTTTAGATTTGATGATTATGACACTTTTGTTCTTTTTATAAATATACTAGCTGGCCCGGCAGACTTCGTAGTGCCTCAATCGATAAATAAAAGACACATCAAGGTGACACATCAAAGGAAAAACAAAATTGTTTGTTTTTATATAATTCCGAGCTTTTTTATATTTTCTCACCTTTTAAACCTTCCCTGGACTTCCACGAATAATTCAAGACCAAAATTAGCTAAATCGGTCCAGACGTTCTCGAGTTTTAGCGAGACTAACGAACAGCAATTCATTTTTATATGTATAGATTAGTATAATTATAATAAAGAATCAATTTAAATAGCAGTCTTATTATACAAATATATTGTCGATGTTAAATTTTACCAGACTTTACTAGAGATGAACTTTAATAGAATTTTACTTCGTTAAGCTATCTAGAAGCTTCGTAATCATGAATAAATGTTGTAATAACAATATCAAATGTAATAAAAGTTAAATAAAATAAGAATGGTTTTATTACAGCATTTTTTTTTTGTTTTCTATTCGAGCGCTGTTTTATTGTTAGATAATCCCGCAAATACTCCATTAACCTGTATACTATATTTCTGGCGCAAACCAGTGATGGGCTTGGAGGTCGCAACAGTCGTTACACAATGGAATTGACATTTCGATCTCTGTCGTGGCGTGCAACTTCTTTGACGGGACATACGGCTCACATTTTTTTTCCTACCTAAGCTGAGAGCCTTGAGAGACTATTTCAGCGTAACCTTAACTAGTAGGTGAGCTCACGGGGCTCAAACCTGATGACGTTGCTAACACGAACCCTAGCAAGAGCAGTGCTTCGCAGAATCTACCGCCGGATCGGAAATGCGACCCACTGAGAAGATCCGGCGAGAAACTCAGTGGGCTGTGTCTGAGGGTTAGAACGGCTCACAATGACTGGATGTAAGCTAAGAGACAGACTTGACAGTTGTGATTCAAAAAGAAACAAAAGAAAAAGGAACGAGGACGACTGCTCACGAGCAGTGGTCATTTTTCATGTCCTTGTAGTTTGTTATTTGTCCCTCGCTTTCGCGGGATTTTATACATATAAAAGTCAGACACGCCAATTCAACAATATCTATAATGTGTACAATATTAAAATATAACTAAAGTAAAGTAAGCAACACTAGGCACTAGAAGAGACGAATTAAAATTAAAATTACGTTTTTACAATCAACTTAAATCGATGCGCACGAATCTCGGTGCATGACGTCACGGGACACCTTTTTTTTTGAAGTGAAACTTCTTTAGGCGCTTGAGGGTAAATTTTTTACAGAACGTCACGCAGGCATGCAACGGAAGTGACATCAAACTACTATTTAAATTAAGTACTTGTCAAATGTCAGTAGTAGTAGTTGTTGTATTTTTCCAACTGGAAAGGCAAATGTATCATATCATACAGCCTAATATTTTATAATTTTTTTGTGAAAAATGTTAATAGGAATTGAAATAAAATGAAAAGAATTTGGAACATTAATCAAATAGCATGAAATTAAATTAGTCAATTCAATTGGCAAAATATTAGTCATTTACAATTTAGAAATCTAAACATAATGTGACTGTCAACACTGAGGTTTGAGATTGACATTTGACAGACTTTGGCGGGAACATATCTTCCTTTTTCGCTTCCTCTAAGTCTCGGAAATGTAAAGTTTTAGATTTGTATAAATATAAGCAACACTTATAAATTAGTTCGCCAAAAAAGTTTCACTTCTGACATGTGTACTTTTTACGCATGCACTTTTTTTTTAACTCTGGGGAATCCATTTACGGATCCCCGGTCGAGGGGGGCAACGGACCGGGTTATGTCGGACTCCGCCTGCGCGTTCGGGAACTCCGATCGCGACCGATGACGCCCGAGTGCGGCCGAATCTTGCCGGCTACACCCTTCTTAAAGACCTAAATAGACGACAAATAACAAATCGACCGTTCAGACCTCATTCACGTCGTGATGTGCATGGGCTACTTACTCTATACCGTTTCTAAAACTAACTACCCTAACATTATAAACTTCGATCTCTCGAAATCAATAATTGTCTACGCTTGGGCCCTCCAACAGTAAGCAAGTGAAGAATATGTATCTTTTTATAGCTATAGTTAAAACTACTTTTTCAACACAACACGCCCTGGATATGTCCTTATGGATTCTTCGAATCCATTAACACTATTATTAGACGCCTGCGGCTCTAACATTAGGAGCAGGCTTAGGGACCTTGGTGACCTTACTCGTCGAACTCACTGATTTCCTTGCTGGATCTTCTCAGCGGGTCCCGCTGAGTTTGTTTCGCCGGTTCTTCTCAGGACTGTGGCTTTTTTTGGAACCGGTGGTAGAGTTAACATTGTTATTTATATNGATTCTTCGAATCCATTAACACTATTATTAGACGCCTGCGGCTCTAACATTAGGAGCAGGCTTAGGGACCTTGGTGACCTTACTCGTCGAACTCACTGATTTCCTTGCTGGATCTTCTCAGCGGGTCCCGCTGAGTTTGTTTCGCCGGTTCTTCTCAGGACTGTGGCTTTTTTTGGAACCGGTGGTAGAGTTAACATTGTTATTTATATTTTGACATTCAACAAGTTTGTCATACTGACATCTAAGTTGAAATAAATGATTTTGAATTAGAATTTGAATTTGGTCGCCATTGAGCCTGTGCCCTCGCACATTTTTTTTTATTGCCGTATAGGCAGACGGGCATACGGCCCACCTGATGGTGAGTGGTTACCGTCGCTCATGGACGTCAGCAATGCCAGAGGCAGAGCCAAGCCCTGCCTACTTTTTAATACTCTCCACAAGCCTCGTTTGAAGAAGGACATGTCATAGCGCTCGGGAAACACCGTGGAGGGAAGCTCATTCCATAGCCAGATGTTACGTGGCATAAAAGATCTCTGGAAACGCACTGTGGATGAACGCAGTGGCTCCAGGTAGTATGGATGAACTCTACTCCGCTGGCGGGCGGTGCGATGGTAAAAACGAGACGTTGGTATCATCTCGAAGGATTCCTCAGAGCACATGTCTTGGAAAAACGGGAAAGGACTCCGGGCCACCAGTAATCGTTTCTTCGTAAAAAATAATTATCACAAAACACAACAACTAGATCACAACCAATTCATTGTACGTACTCAGCTTAAATTAAACATAATACGTAGAAATTGAGTGTGTATCTGAAATTACGAAGAATAAAATCCTACGGTTTCTCTTATCAGTATAAGCGGAAACGTGTATATATATATATATCAAAACAACAGACCGTTCTCAAAGTATAATGCACTCTGTTTGATATTTATTTGATGAGGTTATCAGTAATGCTCTTACTTTATTGCATTATTAAGGAGAGCTTTGCAATTGACGTATTAAATAAATAATAAATAATATATAGCCGGGAACAAATCACGCGCGGTCATTCGAACCCGATTTTGGATTCCCTGTGTTATGGGTACCGGGGACTGACAAACATATATCTTTCTTCTTCTTCTAATGCTTGGTTGCTGCTTTTGAGAGACTTCTCCATCTCTCTCTATTTGTGGAGGTACGTGTACATTAAGTAAGGGAACACTTTGTAGATGACTTAATCAAGTCTGTCCACCTTGTGGATGATCGGCCGGGAGCGTTGACCGTCTACTCTGCCTTGAAACACTAAACGTTCCAATGAGCTTTCATTACGAATGATATGTCCAAACATATTAAGGATTAGTAAACATATATACATAATGCCTGTTCATCACACAATGTTTGACTTTTGAAAACAAGCTGATATTTGTGCAGTCAAAGTTCGGAACTGCTGATAAAAATAATGTATCTGCACCGCTTTCTGTAGTTTCAAATTCATCTATAAACTCTTTTGTTACTGTTATAAGTTGAAAGAGCTAAAAAAGCAATTTAGATTCGCCTAAATATCATGAAGGTAATAACTATTTCTCAATTAATTGGAAACGAGAGCGAAATGTCTAACTGGCCCTTAACAAATACGTAGAAACTCGCAAAGCCCTCATTGTTTGCAATAGTCATAGGCGAACGCGCAAAATAATTCAGTTATTATCGAATTAAAACTAAAACCAAAGTGATGTCGCGCAAATATTTCAATATTTTACTTCTGTTTATTATCATGATAACCGAAGTAACGTGTAAAAGTTTTACAGTTGTTATCGATACAACGGAATCTATGGACGATGAGATTAATATTATAAAAGCAAACATTGGTGAAGTTGTGAGAAATTTAAACAATAAATCGACAGTGTCTGATTACATTCTTGTGCCTTTCAATGATCCAGGTATGTCAACAATAAACTTATCAATGTAAGACGCTTTAGTTTTGTGAATGATTTTTAAGGGAAACAATCTTAAATCAATCTTGCTTAACAATAGCATCTTGTTCGAAATAAATATATGTTTCAAATGTTTTTTGTTTAGCGCGTAATGTATAACAATACAAAGATCATTAATTTACATAATTAACGCAAGTTTTTATGTAAAACACTAGCAGACCCGGAAGACTTCGTAGTGCCTTAATCGATAAATAAAAGACCTAAAATTTTGTATAAAATAAACTTAAAACAAACAAAAGGAATCCGTCCGACGCGGCGACAGAGGACACATTCAAAGGGAAAACAAAATTGTTATTTTTATTTAATTCCGAGCACTTTCATATTTATCTACCTTTTAAACCTTCTCTGGACTTCCACAAATAATTCAAGACAAGAATTAGCCAAATCGGTCCAGCCGTTCTCGAATTTTAGCGAGACTAACGAACAGCGATTCATTTTTATATATATAGAAGATATTCAATTAAACAATTACACTACTTAACCTATTATTGACATGTAGGATGCCTTTGGACATTTTTATTATTTTTCATGTTTCATTTTTATATATAAGTATATGTAAAATGTAATTTTTATAAGAATATGTAAAATGTAAAACATATTCAATGAAAAACCATTACTTAGTTCGTTAGTAGTTCGTTTCGGCTTCGGTTTTAGAAACAAGTCCAATACGCTGCTAGAATATTGATCCCGAAATATAAGTGTGATAAAAAAGTAAATCGATTATAGATGTGGGTACCGCATTGATAACAAGAACTGCCGATGACTTCATATGTTCTTTGACCACATTAACCACGAGCGGTGGTAAAGACTGTCCAGAGAACTCTTTGGCCGGAATCGAGCATGCCTTACGTGTGAGCGACCCAGAGTCAACAATATACGTGTTCACGGATGCATATCCGAAGAATTACGGAAATATGCCCTCAGTTTTGGATTTGTGCACTAATAAATATAGTCAGGTGAGATATTATTTTTTTATTGTAAATAATAGATAGTTTTAAAATTACCATTGTTATTTCGTAAAAACGTATTACTACTGGTGGTATGACGTCTTGTGAGTCCGCAACAGTAAGTACCACCATCCTGCCTATTTCTGAGGTGAAGCAGTAATGTGTTTCGGCTTGGAGGATGCGGCAGACGTTGTACTGTAAAAACGGAGACCTCAGAACTTATTTCTCGAGATGAATAGCAGCATTTACATTGTAGATATCTATAGGCCCCCGGTAGCCACTTAACAACAGATGGGCCGTGAGCTTGTCCACCCATCTAAGGAAAACCGTCTAAAAATTAACACCATGCATCTGGTAGTTTAGTGGGTATCTGAGTAGTCATTAAAATGAGTTTGAAGCTTTCTACGCTTTGGTGTGGTTCACTCCTGTGGCATCCTTCAAACCGGTAAAAACGCGCGACTACATCCACGACAATAATACCCGTATCTCTCACAAAACAAGTGGCGATATTAAAAAGCCACTATCAACTAGAACCTCCTGCGTCGACCCTGTCCCGCCGTCTCAATGGCCTCGACTGGGCTCCGACCCTGTTTAGTGAGGTTTAACTCCCTTATACCGGATTTCAGTGATTTTTACCTGTAAAAAAATCAACTAGAACCTCAAGGCAGACGCCTATTCTATTTAATTTAATTGTTACAATCATTTCTACACCTGATAGCGTCAAAATGTAGATGGGAAATATGAATTCATAAATAAGACACTTTTTGGTGGTGGCATTATGGTAGTATGAACATTTTTAGCTGGCATCATTAATTGTTGTTTTTAATAAGCTTTTATTAGCTCCAGACGTATGTATGTTAGTATGTAACGGAATCTTTCAACATGATTTTGACCCTCTTCAAAACGTCGGATTAACTCGAAATTTGGTATACTTACTAAGGACCGATGACAATTCAATATTAAAATAAATATTAAAAAAATTTAAATACAACAAAAAAATGAAAAATAAATAATAGTTAAAAAAAAACTAACAAAATACGCTTTTATAGAAAATCCGACTAAAAAATAGAAAATAAAATTTTAATAAATTTGAATTAAAAATAGTGCAAGAAAAAATGATTTTATTGTGTGATTGTATGATTGTATTGTGTAAAAAAGCGTGGGGTGCATGGTATCAGTAGTTATAAATATTTTATGAACAAATATGACCAGAAGGGTTATTTTGATAATATCCTGAAAAGCACCCCACGTTTTTTTACACAATTTTAATTCAAATTTATTAAAATTTATTTTCTATTCTTTAGTTGGACTTTTTATAAAAGCGTATTTTGTAGGTTTTTTTTAAACTATTATTTATTCCTAATACAAATTTAACGTTTTCTTGCAGGTCCATATAATACTGACCGGTGTATGCTATATGTCGGCCAGAAATTCCGCTGGTCGCCTTGACTTGTATTATGAAGTCGCGAGGGCTTGTGGTGGAGTTGTACTGCAGTTCGAGTCAGCGCATAACCTCAGACAGGTAACATAAATAATAAGAGACTCTTGCGCTGTTAACGGTACTTTCGGCTATACATTAAAGCCTTCGTCAAACAGAACGCGTACTTAGCGCGCGTCAGAGCGCTAAACTAACGCCGCGCTATGACGCCGAGATGTATTGTACTACTACGGTATTAAACAACTGTATATCAAACAGAGCGCCAGCGCTATAGCGCTCATAGCGCTGGCGCTCTGTTTGACGGTATGTTACCATAGTAGTACAACACATCTCGGCGTCATAGCGTAGCGCTCTGACGCGCGCTAATTACGCGTTCTGTTTGGCGAAGCCTTAAAACTCCATCTAACAACTCAAAGTGGGTACCGGCAATAGCTCTTTCTATGTATATTATATCTATGTAGAATGCGCGAAAACATGTGAAAAGAGTGTGAAACGGAACGTTACGGTATGAGTGAGAGAAAATGGTGAGAAAAGGAGAGAACAATGAAAGAAAAAAGCCAGATGACGCAGACGCTTGAGTGAGCGATGAGTAAAAAAGGGTGTCAATGATTGGGGCTCAGTCGACTCGAGGTAAGGTAATTCGGGACGCGCTGGTCTAAAACGTCGACTATTTAGTTACTCCCCAATGGGGTAGGAGATACCTAGTATCTCAAAAGCGAATAGCGAAAAATTTGGAACGAGAACATTGAAACTAAAATAGTGAATCAGTTTTATATTAAGCGCTAAGTTCCCAATTCTACCTCTTTCTCGTATCTGCGCAAAAACTTCTTCCAATCCAGAAAAATATACTAATATTCTTCGTAATCATTCCGCATCTTAGCCAACAACTTAGTTACGTGCCAGTTTTTCTATTTATTTGTTTGTTTCCCAAATCATGGCGTAGGATTAACATCGTAGGAAGCAAAAGACGCTGCAAAAATCAGTTGAATATGTGGCGGTAGCTATCATAAAACAGAAAAGACGGGTACTTGATTTTCACAAACGAGATTGATAAGTGTACATATACATAATATATACATATTTAAGTTACAAATAATAATATTTGGACTGTCTGTTTATTGAGCAATTTCGCTCGCTCAGTGGAAGATCTTACCTTTGTCGTTATCAAGTTGTTGTGGCCTTTTCTGATTTTTGCATCTCGCCCAACTGTGAGTCTAATTCATATTTTGTTACAGGCATTTTCATATATTAATGAGCTGAACAGAAACGCGTGGAATGAAGTAATCGTTCACGACAACATCAGAGGACAGAATCAGATAAATGTGAGTTTTAAGACATTGCTTCGTCTTGGCCCCTAGTTATACTTATTAGAAAATAATCACTAACGAACGTAGAGAATTACGAGTTAATAGCTTTTTATTGTTAATTTTTATTGTTTATGATCGCTTGAAGTCGTAGGGGCCTAAAGAATAAAATGCCCTGTGCATTCATATCGAGCGATATAGTTTTGCCAGTGTTCGAATCCCGCAGGCGGGTACCAATTTTTCTAATGAAATACGTACTTAACAATTGCTCACGATTGACTTCCACGGTGAAGGGATAACATCGTGTAATAAAAATCAAACCCGAAAAAGTTATAATTTACATGATTGTTGGTGGTAGGGCGTCTTGTGAGGCTGCACGGGTAAGTATCACCACCCTGCCCATATCTGCCGTGAAGTAGTATAATGCGTTTCGGTTTGAAGGGTGGAGCAGGCATTTTACTGTTAAAATAAGAACCATAGAACCCACGTTTCAAGTTGGTGGCACCATTAAGATTGTTGATGTCTATGGGCTCCGGTAACCACCTAATACCAGGTGGGCCATGAGCTTGTCCATACATCTAAACAACAAGAAACCGGTTGGGTAAATGGTAGGGACGTACTAACATCTCTTCGAAGTCATCGAGAATTCCAGCTTAAAGGAATAATTATAATAAAAACTACCTGACCTGGCAGACTTCGTAGTCCCTTAAAAAAACCTAAACATTTGTATAAAATAAACTTAAGACAAACAAAAGGAATCCGTCCAACGGGGGCCACATCAAAGGGAAAACAAAATGGTAATTTTTAATTAAATACCGAGCATTTAAATATTTATCGACCTTTTAAACCTTCTCTGGACTTCCACAAATAATTCAAGACCAAAATTAGCCAAATTGATCCAGCTGTTCTCAAGTTTTAGCGAGACTAACGAACAGCAATTCATTTTTATATATATATAAAAAATATATTTAGGCAGCGTAACTCGGAAAATGGAGGTTCACAATATTTATTTAGACTTTAGACCAGTCCCAGACTCGGTTCCAAAGTCCAGCGGCCCGGCACTTTCAAATAGGACCCCATTACTGCTGCGCTGTATAAGGCGATGGTGCCGGCTTCTTACCAAAAAATAGTAATGGTGCAGTTGGGGCATTTATGTGCTCCAGGAGGGACATGAGTTCATTCACCTAGAGCAATAAAAATCATGAGCGCAACAAACTTTGACCTTTCAGTTTCTACTTAATCGGTATAGCAAAGACGCAATGGTAGTCGTTTATGGAGGAACTGTCCAGCTACAGATACAAGATGAAAAGGGTCTGATTGTAACTTTAGATCGGATTATTGACACCAGAAACGTCCAGGTGAGTTATATTGTTATTGTTATACATGGTTAATGTGGAAATCGGTCCACGTTATTAAAATAGCAGTCGTTATATGTATCCCTTTTACTAAGTTAAACTACATACTAAACGAAACTACTTCTTTTTAGTAGGATACTTCATTGCTTAAGGTCGCATCCTTGAAAGGCCTTCGTGGCTCTTTGTACCATTACCTTCCATTTCCTTCGGTTTTCGGCTTCTCTCAGGGCGGTCGTAACAGAGAGTCCGGTGAGCGCGGTTACCTGATCTGACCAACGATTTGGCAGCCGGCTGGGGGTCTTTTCCCTTCTACCTTGCCCACCATAGCCAATCTTTCAAGGTCGTCTGGTGGCCGCCGAGCAATGTGACCAAAGTAACCAAGAATCATTTGATAACAAATCGTAGACAGTCTTGTTTCTACGCGAAACTAACTACACTAGCTAACTAAATTATACTATATTTAGATCGACCAGGTTGACGTGGTAGAGAAAATCGTTGCTATCTAAAGAATAAGACGTTGGCATTAAAATCTCGCAGGCAGTTAGTTACTGTTTGTTGCAGTGAAATACGTATTTAACTCACGTTCACGAGTGATAAAGCTCGATGATGTAATAGTATCGTGCAATCAAAATGAAGCCCTCAGAAACAGGTTTTTGCTTAAGATACATTATTAAACGTTCGCACGAATAGGTATTAGAACCAGTCATGCGTTCCAATGAATTGTGGAAAAGCTGTTATACTATATTTTATGGTCCGACCGAGAGGGCTGGTGGTCGTGGCGCCGACGACCGCCAGTCCGGCGTCCCGAAGGGGAGGGTGATGGGAGAGATGTGCTCCGCACTAAACACTTCACTTTCCCCCTTTGCCTTTGCATGACTTCTGTCTCATGTGAGGTTTGAACGTTGGTTGTTGAGCGACAGGAGGTTTTAGTCGGTTCGACTCCGACATGATCCGCCCACCGTTCCCAGTGGAGGGCGGAAGTCCGGCGATTTCCTCCTGACCAAAAAAAAATAATACTATATTTTATGGTGGTATAATCAAGGTGAGTGAATTAAAACTCCTATGGACTCTGTAACCACTCAACGCCAGATGAGCCGCGAGCTCAACCACATCATCTAAACATTAGAGAGCAACTCACAGAACAACACACAGAATATTATCTCGAAATTGGTGAAAGCGAATTTCTTTTGATTCTGAAACGTTAAACATAACATTGCTAATTTTTCAGATGTTCCGAATAGAACCGAAACAAGGGAAATATTGTATGTTCATTCGGACTCACGAGGTAGTTTCAGTAACGCTGTACATAAAAAGTGATTTGGTCTTCTGTTTTGGATTCTCACCTAAATACCCTAAATCTTTGGAGGAGACCAGCACTAGGCCTATGGCAGGTAAAATCATTTGTGGCAGTTTCATTAATAGCCCATAAGGAGCCCATAGACATCTACAACGTAAATGCGCCACCCACCTAAGTTCTAAGGTCTCAGGTACAGTTACAACGGCTGCCCCACCCTTAAAATCGAAACGCATTACTGCTTCACGGCAGAAATAAGCAGGGTGGTGGTACCTACCCGCGCGGATTCTCAAGAGGTCCTACCACCAGTGAAAGATTACTCTAAAAATATGCGCTGTGTGGCTATAGTTCAATTAAGGCAACAACTGACCTTTCTGGTAGGTTAAACTAAAAATATTTTTACCGCATTCATTGTTCCCAGGTCGTTCGAACTACATACTAATAAGCGTAGTGGACACAAAGATACGATTGGTTTCGTTGGAAATGAAATGTGGTAATATGACGACTGTCATAAGCTTTGAATATACAACTAACGAAAGGTATTACACGAGCAGAGCATTTGTGGATCCCAACAGACTATGTCGCATCACGGTGAGTCGATCCTGTTACGCTAGCAGACGAGTAGACGGTCTACTGTTCATCAAATCCAACGATAACAGACTACGCAAACATGAGACTCAAGTTTCGCGCCCTCCTTGCGTCGTATTCCTCACTGCTGAGAGTCGTGACCAAACTTTTGTATCATCTTCGCACGCACGATCTTTCTCCCTCTGTTCTTGTCTATGGCGGTGTGGAGGGCGTTGTGAAATGTCTCTGAAAATGAAGTCTCGCGTAATGATATGTAAAAGAAAATTGTAAGAATTCTATCGTATTTAAATCAATTGTCATGAAAGAACAATACCTTTCAGGCAAAAGGAGAGGATGAGAATTCTCAAGGATTTATAGGTGCTACAAAGTTACTCAAGCCACAAGAACAAGGCAAGTATAATAAGATTCAAAGGTACTAATAGAAAAAAAATTAGAAAAAAATAACGTAGATCCTAGTCCTTTTGTTTTAAGTAGAAATCCAAGGTACCAAGCTCGTGTCAAAATCTGTCCCAAAGAATTCTTGCATTGCGGTTCGCAAAGATAAAATTGTGCTTTCTTAGAATGAAGGCCTTCTAAAATTTTGAAAGCCGTGACGGGTGCCAATGTTTAGGTATTACCTATGCGTTGCGGTAACTACTGGATACCAGATGATCTGTCAGTTCTTCTGCCCATAACAGCAACAGTTTATGTACAATAAAAAATAATTTATTCTTTTACAGTGTCAAATATTTCGGCGCTAAAACCAACTGTAGTGATTATTGATCCAGAATATACACTGTTCGACTTTGGCACCGATGTTTCATTGACGTGCAAAATAAAAGGACATCCAGAGCCTGTTGTGAAATGGGAAGATGATGACGGCCACTTACATCCTTCCGAGGTTAATTACAATCGCGTGGTTCCAGATGCATTCGCGAAGCTGCTACACTTGATCTGTTAGGTTTTCTTCGGAGACACTCGGGCAGCTCTTAGTAAACCCCACCCCTCCTGGCTGACCCGGTATTTGCCCACCTGTCCTCGTGAAACTGGAAAGGCCTCCGAGCCACAAGTTATCATTTCTTCCAAAAAATGTGATAGGTCTGAGGTAGTCTTCATATTGCTACCTACTACTATAAGAATAGGTTGTTGGACTTTCACTGTTATTGTCATTGTAAGGAGACGATTCAATGTCCCATCTGATAGTCATTAGTTACCTTACGCTAATAGATGTCAGCAGTGGGATACAGCAAAACTGACAGACTGCCTATCCATAAAAAATCTCTCCCCAAATCCCATTTGATGAAGGATATGCCAAAGCACTCGGGAAACACCGAGGAAGGAAATTCCAGTTGTATGGTGCTTGGCAAAAAATATGTCTAGAAACGCACTAACTATGAACTGTTCTACTTAGTATGAATTAACTCAATGGTGATGAGCGGTGTAATGATAAGAATCGAAGTCCCTCCCTAGACCTCTAGACCCGTGAGAACAGGATAGTCACTTATTTTGTTTTTAGCTGATCCTGCTCGAATTACCCTCGACTTACATCAGTTATGTTACGATAACGAACATAACAAGGAACACGACCGTTTTCTGCAGAGCTGAGAACACAGAAGGTTCATCTGAAACCAGTCTCCATGTTTATATTAACAAGACATTTACTTTTGACATTGTGCAAACGCCGTCAGGTATTTAGTTTATTTTTATTCAATATCGATTTGAAGGGTAGGTAGGACAACTGTTCATAATAAGATCTTATCGAAATCTCATTTTTCTGCCATACGAACCTACAGAGGTAGGTGACATTATCTTGTTTATTTCTACCGCGAAGGAACTATGCGCCTTATTCAAAGAATAGAATGGTCGTTATGCAATTAAGCTGAGTCTTGAAATTTAGACACCATATCCAACTTGGATGATTTTTTAAGACATCACCAGCCAATTTTCACCATAAACAGCCCAGCAATAGAATGTTTTCTTTTTTTGACATAATAACGCTTCTTATACTATTTTTCAGATATAACAATAGAATACGGCGAAGAAGATACAGTATTTTGTGAGGTGTCTGCTTACCCCGAAGCCACCACAAAATGGTATCACAACAACTCCGAAATAGTCTCATCTCAGAATCTCCAGCTGATACCAGACGACAATGCCATGGTTATTAAAAACATGACTTTAGACTACACGGGCGATTACAAATGTGTCGTCGAGAACGTCGCTAATAAAAAAGAATTTGATTTCGTTATCAATATATCCGGCTTGGGTAAGTTTAGGCTATCTTTTGTAGATAAATCATAACAATAAATGCGGGAGCCTTATTTTTCATTACATTAATACCAACGGAAGATTCGTGAATAATTCGGTAGGCAGCGGCTTGGCTCTGCCCTTGGCATTGCTGAAGTCCATGGGCGACGGTAACCACTCACCATCAGGTGGGCCGTATGCTCGTCTGCCTACAATAGCAATAAAAAAAAAAAAAATTATAATACAATGAGGCAACCCCGACTAGTGGAAAAAATAAAAAAAGGTACGAACCGACATTGCAGGAGCAGAATAAAACCAAACCGCTATTAGCTGCCAAAAAATTTACTAGAATACTGTAATATAAAAACTGCTTTTTTAGGGATCGAGTCTAACGTGTGAATTTTTTAGTTTTTGAGGTAGACTCATAGTCACTCACCAAGCATAATGACACTTGAATAAGTCAAGAGTCCGTAGAGACTATTTTCCACTTTGGACATTTACATTAAATTCTCTATAGTAAAAAAACAATTTAAAACTGATATTTCATTTGCAGAGTCCCCTCAGATTGAAATCAATACACGAGAAATCGTATTGAGACCAGGTGATTCAGCGGAACTCAATTGCAGGTACATTTCTTCGTCTCACTTCGGTTTCCTCATGTCATGACCATCTCCTCGCAACAAGTTATACTAAAACTCATTTATTTTATTTTATTGCTTAAGTGGTTGGACGATCTCACAGCCCACCTGGTGTTAAGTGGTTACTGGAGCCCATAGACATCCACAACGTAAATGCGCCACCCACCTTGAGATATAAGTTCTAAGATCTCAAGTATAGTTACAACGGCTGCCCCACCCTTCAAACCGAAACGCGTTACTACTTCACGGCAGAAATAGGCGGGGCGGTGGTACCTACCCGTGCGGACTCACAAGAGGTCCTACCACCAGTTATTTGTTTTTTAATTGTATCACCGATTAATGTATCGTCAAATTGGGAAACGTCTCATTTCTAGGATCTTGAAAGGAAATCCTGCCCCTCTTATCACTTGGCAGCACAAATCTGCAGACGAATTCGCTTCTGACGAACTACCCGAAGATTCTATTATAGTTGGAAATAAGCTTAAGATTTTATCTATTAAAAAGGAACATGAAGGAATATACCGATGCACAGCTGTAAATCTCAAGGGCGAAAGCTCAGCGGAAGTAACGTTGAAAGTTCAATGTTAGTATCTACATAAAGATTGGCAGTTGAGCGCGAGTGATGAGTTAAGTTATGAAAAAATGGACTCCCTCGTCGAAGATCTTCCATTGGCATGATCTGACCGTGAAAAAAGCGGTTACTGAAAGCCCATGAAATACTCCTCCTAAATACATATCGAGGTCTTAATTGTATTAGAAATAAAGTTTCCGATCAGACCAAAAATAAGACCTCCTAGTGCTTGGAGCTACTAGTAACCAGTATTAGTAGTTACTAGGTCAAGCCGCCATCACACTGATGGTCAGATCTGATGTGATACCTTACCTGAAGATAACATTAATGTAAGAACCTCTGTTTGAGTTTTCATTGCAATGCAGTGGAGTCCAGGAAAGATATATAAAAAGAAAAAAGAACAAAAAAAAAAAATCAGCTCCAATAATCCAAGGAAACTTTAATTTAATATTTTTTTAGTTTGATAGTTCGATGATGAAATATTTGTGGATATAGTCTCTTTTTTTGTGAAAATGTTTCGAAAACTACGCTTTAAATATTTTGAATTTACTACCCTTTTGGTGATTAGATTCCCTTCAACACGAGATTGATAGATTTCCAATTATTTTAAAACATAAACGATTTACAATTCTCGTGCCGAGTTAGATTAAACTAGAAAAAAATTAATTGGTGGTCTGTAAAATCGGCTTACAGACGATAGTATCACGTGATAACGTCAGTAGCAGAACTATTCCAACCGCTAGCTCTGACGTCACGCGAGAAAAGAGATTAATGCGTCACAAGCCAACGCTTGGGCCGATTGTGCCTCTCTATCGCTTGTTTCGCTCTCTCGCTTGCACGCTCAGGCTCAGGTGGAACGTGACACTTTTCCGTGCGTGCAGTCGGTGCTCATAAAAACTATTTATAAAAAGTTATCACGTCAAAGAGTTTTATTTTATTGCCCTTATAGGCAGACTAGCATACAGCCCACCTGATGGTGAGTGGTTACCTTCACCCATGGACTTCAGCAATGCCAGGGGCAGAGCCAAGTCGCTGCCTACCGCTTAATACTCTCTACAAGTCTCCACAACTTTTCAATAGTCCCAATTGTTTTGACTTGAATTGCAGTTGCTCCTGTCATTAAAGATGATGTTATATACCCCCAAACTGTGCCGGTGAAGGAGGGAGATAATGTGGAACTACCTTGTGACGTCACAGCATCACCGGAGGCTGTAGTTAGATGGGAAATGTCACAAGATGATGTTATAATCCCACTGGATCAAAGACACGTTACAGATGATCAGAATACACATAGGTACGTTCTGGGATTGCTCTTTTTATTTAATGGCAAATAAGCTAAGGCTTATATTTAGTCATGGTTAAACTTGAGGTCAAAAGTCTTGAAATGTGGATTTTGTTCCAAACCTTGAGAAGGTCAATGTGCACCAATAGATCTGAAGAAAAATGGATTTTTAATGATTAAGCGCTAAGCGAATGGTCTAAGATCTTATTGTCTTATTTCAGATTCACTGCGTTGTGGAGAGATTCCGGTCATTATCACTGTATTGCCGAAAATGCCCTGGGAACAGCAAAGAAAACCATTCTAGTAAATGTCTTAGGTGAGTATCTATTAGATCTCTGTCGAAAACCCTTCAAAAGAAAAAGCAATACAATTATTATCGTGTTATGATATATTCGTAGCCAGTTATGATTTATATTTAAGCTGTGGTCGACTTAATAATTATTTATCTATTGTTTTCCGCATGTTTCAGTGGCCCCATACATCGAGACACCACAGTCAAAAACATTGACAGTTCGTTCAGGCTCAACTGTCAAACTAGCGTGCAACGTTCTATACGGTAATCCGGCTCCATCTTTGAAATGGAAATTCATAAATAAGGATTCCACGTCTAGGATACTCAGGTAGTTTATTATTTTTTTATTATTTTCAAAAAAAAAAACCTCTTTGACGTCGTTGAAATTCGGCGAAACGGAAATGGAACTTTGAAAGTGACATAAGAAAGAAAGACAGCCAGCTATAAGTTTTTACCGCGCGTAAGCTGCGCATGTTTCATATTTTTCGTTTTTTTTTTCCGACCCCCCCGTACTAACTTTTTTAAGTCACCATAAAATGCAGCACGGTTCAATTAACACCTTTGAAAAGTTTCTGTGGTAATTGACATGTTTTTAATTTATTTGTCTTATCATTATTGGTTATACAATTGTGTTAGTAGGGCAAGTCTTGTCAGACTTATAATATATTTTTATTTTATATCGTGTAAGTAAACATTAAAAAATAGCTGAGAGATACCATTAAGAGGCTGAGGTAGCGCGTTATGTTTTTTTTTATTGCTTAGATGGGTGTACGAGATCACAGCCCACCTGGTGTTAAGCGGTTACTGGAGCCCATAGACATCTACAACGTAAATGCGCCACCCACCTTGAGATATAAGTTGTAAGGTCCCAGTATAGTTACAACGGCTGCCCCACCCTTCAAACCGAAACGCATTACTGCTTCACGGCAGAAATAGGCAGGGCGGTCTTACCTACCCGCGCGGACTCACAACATGTCCTGCCACCAGTAAATTATTGCCTACCGTGCAATTCGTGTGCACGTATACACATTACATCGTGAATGCTGCATTTCATATTTAGAAACAATATCGATGTCTCAAGCTAGATCAGAATGTTTATCCAACAGTCGAAATAGCAACCCGCACTTGCTTCTTCGCATGCATGATGCATCCTTGTGATCTCATAGTTCTTCCCATGTAAATAAATATAAAGGCTTACCAGTAAGCTTTAGAAATGATATCGAATTATTACATTTTCGCAAATTGCCAGAAACCTTTCTTTTTAATCAATATTTTGTGAGACTGTAATTAATCTATCTATCTATATATATATATAAAAACGAATTGCTGTTCGTTAGTCTCGCTAAAATTCGAGAACTGCTGGACCGATTTGGCTAATTTTGGTCTTGAATTATTCGTGGAAGTCCAGAGAGGGCTTAAAAGGTGAGAAAATATAAAAAGCTCGGAATTATATAAAAACAAACAATTTTGTTTTTCCTTTGATGTGTCCCCTTGATGTGTCTCTTATTTATCGATTGAGGCACTACGAAGTTTGCCGGGTCAGCTAGTCATTAATAAATTATTAAGTAATCTGTATCTAGAATTAAAATGTTGGATGTTTTAATTTACAGAAACAACAGGACGAGTTCGTTAACCTTGAACAATGTCAACAAATTAAATGAGGGTTCCTATATGTGCATCGTGGACAATGCACTAGGCTCTGACAGGATTAAATATCAATTAAAAGTTGAATAATAATAAAAAAATATTAATATAAATTAGAAATTATTACATTATTATTACATTAAGATTATTAATGATTTATGATGAAGAAATAAAAATATATTTTTAAATTTGTGATTTTATTTTGTTGTAAAAGATGAATGAAATAGACCGAGCTTTAATACTTCAGAGGAAAAGCAGGTGCCAAGACGTTAGTAGAATAATTAAATAATTCTGTTACCATCCCTCACAGTGTTTCCCGAGCGCTATGACATGTCCTTCTTCAAACGAGGCTTGTGGAGAGTATTAAGCGGTAGGCAGCGACTTGGCTCTGCCCCTGGCATTGCTGAAGTCCATGGGCGATGGTAACCACTCATCATCAAGTGGGCCGTATGCTCGTCTGCCTACAAGAGCAATAAAATAATAATAATAAATCTGGTGACTCCAGGACTGAGAGCCTGTAAAAAATACATTGAAAACGACATTAGAATCCATTATTATTTTCTTAGATTAAGTTCAGAAAAAAATTTAAAATAAATAATAATTTATTTCAAAAAAACAGCTTAGTCTAATTTTCAATTTGTTTGTCAACCGCTTTTATTTGTTTGTAGCTATTAATGAGTTTTAGTATCAGTGGCAAATATATGTACTTATATCTTTCTTCAAAAAAGAATAGTTAAGTGCTATTCACCTTCGCCTGTCTTCCATTTTTTCGGTGTAGTAGTTATGAATCATATTAAAATAGGTTTTTTTTGGAAATACAGTTTTATTTCATTAAAACTTCAATAGAAAAAATCAGAGTAAATGTTTTAAGTAAAATAAATCTAAATCATGAGGCTTCAGTGTCAAGATCGAATTTTGATTTTGCGAACACTACCAAGAATAATAATATAACACAAACGAATTAGCAGTGAGTGTGAACGAGTGCCATGAAGGCTGCGACAATGACATTAAGAAGCAGACCACGTTTTTAGAAACGCTATAATTATTGGTGTACAGTTGACAGCCAAACATACATTTAAACAAACATCTATATATTAATACGTGAAGCAAAAACTTTATATCGCTTTTTACGAAAATTGCGCGGGCGGAGGAGTATGAAATTTTCCACACTTATAGAGAATAAAGAGAAGTGCACAATGCTAATATTTTTTTAAAATAATGCATAAAAGATACCTTAAATCAATAAAGAAAACATTACACACATTACATATCATATATTTGACGCACACACGCATGCATACTATTTATTGTCAAACTTTTGTTCTTGACGTCTGTAGTCAAATTGAGAATAGATTAAATATTGTTTGTCTTTATTAATATTTTTTTATAGTGTAGCCTTGGCAAAATTTGTGATTATAGAAGTATAAAATACAATCATAATAGTGTACACTTACAATTCCAATTAATTATAGTCGAATTTCGATTACTGCGGGACCTCTAGTACATTTAAATACAAAACAAATCATGCCTTTATAACGTGCGTACGTTTTATTCGTGTCTCAAAGAATTTTTGGAATTAACACTAGAAATCCCAGCAAAATTTGGCCATGACTTGACACAATAAGAACCAATTTACATTTATGTAGGTTCGGAAAGAATGGAACTTATGGAAAGAGCGTGGAACGGAGCGTTAAGTTGTGAAGAGAAAACTTAAGAAAGGGAGAAAAGAATGAAAGAGAAAAGCAAGATGGCGAGGAAGATTGAAAGATCAAGGCATAAAGAAGGATCACTTAAAAATATCATAACAAAAAAAACTTCTTCAGCTATTACAATGGAGTGAGCTTAAGTGCAATTAAAAATATCGATCTGTTCATGGTAATACCAAACGCACCTTTAATTACAAAGATAAATGTCGCGTATTAAGCTTAAACTAAATAGCCTTTAGCCTTTCACCCCTCAATGTGGTATTACAAATAGTAAACAGTGGCGACATTCATCCGAATTTAAATAAACCCGAATTAGATGCAACTCGCAAATGAATGTACTCGGTGTTGCTAGTGATGTGCAACGAAATGTTTTTAAATTTGGATCGATTATGAATTTTTTTTTTCTTCTGAAAATAAATATTCAAAAAACTAAAATTATCTATTTGTTATGCATAACTTTTTTGGGGGTAGATGAACCAAATCACATAGTAACAAAAAGAACAAACTGCGTGTCTTAAAGCAAAGTGGTATTGACACAAAAGTACTTACTTAGCTTACTAAAACTTATAGTTGTTTTTTTGTTGTTGCTTAGATGTGTGGACGAGCTCACAGCCCACCTGGTGTTAAGTGGTTACTGGAGCCCATAGATAGACATCTACAACGTAAATGCGCCACACACTTTGAGATATAGTTCTAAGGTCTCAGTATAGTCACAACGGCTGTCCCACCCTTCAAACCGAAACGCATTACTGCTTCACGGCAGAAATAGGCGGGGCGGTGGTATCTACCCGTGCAGACTCACAAGAGATCCTACCACCAGTAATTACGCAAATTATAATTTTGCGGGTTTGATTTTTATTGCACGATGTTATTCCTTTACCGTGGAAGTCAATCGTGAACATTTGTTAAGTACGTATTTCATTAGAAAAATTGGTACCCGCCTGCGGGATTCGAACACCGTTGCATCGCTCGATACGAATGCACCAGACCTCTTTTCTTTAGGCCACGGCGACTTCAAAATCGATGATGATGATATCGGCTATTCACTTGGATATTCGTTTTTTTTACCTACCTATTGGCTAGTAGTCTAGGGGGCTATTTTAGCTACGCCCGTTCGGGTAAGTGAGATCACGGACTCATCCTTAAAGATTGCGAGTGTGACTGAGGAGATCCGGCGATAAAACTCAGCGGGCTAAAATATTCGGCATAAAATTATTTTCGGCAACATGCTGTGTGTGTGTATTTGTATGTATATATATTGTTTTGTATCTTGTAATATGTATATATTATTATATGTAATGTTTACTGTATGCACTAGGTTTTTGTTCCTAATTCTTCTTTCCTCCTGCGGGCCTACTCAAAGAGATTTCGACATGAAATACGTAGTGCCCTTGTACTCTGTATCCTTATTGTCGTGTTTCTTCTAACAGCTGTGTGTACAAAATATTATATATTAAATAAATAAATGATTTTCGTTCGGTCCAGTCGTAAAATTTTTGACACACACGATTCTAATAGTATCGTGTAATGTCAAACAACGATGACCCGATTTCGCAAGCAGCCGCGAAAATACGATCTGTTGCAGAAATATTTTCGTATGTAATTTTATCTTAATAATAATAATAATAATATAATGTTTTGACAGTTTAATATGGTTGCTTTATGCTCACGCGGCATGACGAAGCGACAGCGGTATCGCGGTACTGTCGCCATAAAAATTAATGTTTTTATTTATTTTAAGATATAATTTTTCCTTTTATTGTTTTTTTTTTAAACTGTCTAAATCATTAAGTGAAACTAATTCAGTTTATTTTTTTAATGATCTAAACGAACTAGCAAGTGTTATGGTCACTTCCAAAGAACACCCAGTGGTCCCCAAGCTGTCCATCCTCATGTTGAGCCAAAAGTTCAAAGTTTCGATTGAATTGTTTTTATTTAATATATTTGTAAGCGTATTGATCCTTACGCGTAAGTGGCATTGGATTGGTCACATTTTCAGAAAGCCCGATACCCACCTATCAAAGAGAGCACTAACCTAGAAAGTGTCTAGCAAAAGGAAGAGAGGCCGCCCCAGAACAACTTGGCATCGCTCCGTGGAGCAGGAGCTAGGTGTCTTGGGCATGACGTGGGAGGAGCTAGAACAGACTGCCCAAGACCGATGTAAATGTAAAAATTTGATTCGAGCCCTACACCCCAGCAGAGGGTAACAGGAAAGAATGATGATGATGATGATGATATCGATGAATTTGTTTTACTATATGCAACTCTAACATAGAGTGTCTTATAACTTCACATGGGTAGACAGAATCATCCCACCAATTTCTACCATGTAACAGTACTTACTTACCGGTTTATAGGGTTTTAATGGTCATTTCTGACAAACTTGCTTATAAATTACATAATTATAAGTAGTCATTGTCCGTCATGGACATTAGCAATGCCAAAGGCATAGCCAAGTTGCTGCCTTCTGTTGCGTGAGACCGTCGAAGCATATGGAGCAGTTTAATTACTGGATTCCAATAATCACCGCACTTAATACATCTACTGCGATTTAAAAGAAAGGCACGTATGCAAATTAAGGCGCATAATACTCCTATGGATAATATTATGGCGAAAATAAAATACGTACATCCAAAACGGTGGATAAATCATATATATATATTTTATTGCCCTTGTAGGCAGACGAGCATACGGCCCACCAGATGGTGAGTGGTTACCGTCGCCCATGGACTTCAGCAATGCCAAGCGCAGAGCCAAGCCGTTGTCTACCGCAAAACATCGGTACAAATGTTCATACTAAATGCATATTAAATATGATTTACGGTCTTGCTATTACATTGCAACGAACACACACAGGCGTATGATATTAAAAATTTGTTTACATAATTCATTTCGCATTAAACAAATCAAAGATTTACAAATCGCTACCTTAAGAAATATCACCTTTACATAAAACAAAAGACGACCGATTTGATTGATGTTAACATTGAATACAACTAACAATGCCGAGTCTTTTGGGCACAATCAATAAATGCCAATTGTAATCAGTCGATGTATGTTCTCACATTCGAATAAAAGCGTGGACAGATAACTCTGGCCGGGTCAAGGGTAGAACCAGGGACAGACTCAGGTTTGTATTAAGGTGCCACTCCAGTCTTAGACCTTTGAAGTCGTCGTGGCCTAAAGGATAAGACGTCCGGTGCATTCGTATCCAGCAATGCAACGGTGTTTGAATCCCGCAGGCGAGTACCAATTTTTTCTAATAAAATACGTACTTAACAAATGTTCACGATTGACTTTCACGGTGAAGGAATAACATCGTGTAAAAAAAATCAAACCCGCAAAATTATAATTTGCGTAATTACTGGTGGTAGGACCTCTTGT